AATACTGTAGCGAAAGATATCTGTAAATATCTATATTGTAAATAAGATGTATAATAGTATAAATAAATAAAGAGTGCCACATGCGCCCAAAGATGATAATATCTACAGATATTGAAAAAAAAAATTTATAATCATATACATAGTGTATGTATACGGCTATTAAATTGCAAATCTATATAACATGCAAATTAAAACAATTTTATAAAACAAAAATTAAACCCTGCCTATAGTTAGGGTAAGGGTGTGCTTAAGATTAGGACAGAATTATAATTTATACCAAATTTCGCAAGGAATATTTTTTGTTAGAAGCTAAAAGGTGATTTCATAATCGAAATTTTGAGATATCGGTAATATTTTAAAAGGAAATATGTTTATGTTACACCTGATCATGTAATATAATTGACTTTTTAATAATACCTGTGTACAGACAACTCATGTACAAATAAAAATGCTCTATATAATAATATAGTCAAACCTCTCTAAATGCAACCTCCGTAAATGCAATACCTCTCTAAATATACATTTTTGTCTTGGCTATATGAATCATTAGTACTAAATGCATGTTCTATATTCTGTAAATGCAAGTTCATTCAAAAGATTTTTTATATTATACTAACCTCTTTATATGCATATAGCTAATCAGTATTTAGTATTAAATTATGTTATACAAATTTGCAGATCAAATATTAAAAACTGCAATTTGATTAGCTCTTCCTAAATGCAAACCATTCTAAATGCACAGTTTCAACTAATCTGTACACAGTTAGCTATTAGTTTTTTTAATAGATCTTTAAAGAGATTACTTGTTATAATGCAAATATAGTCAAATCTTTCTAAATGCAATATATCATATTTATTGATTTAGTTTTACTTCAAAATTAATTAAAATCTTTAAACTTACTTTTAATCAGTGTCGTTAAACATACTAAATTAGCTAGCATACCTCTATGAAATTATCTTCTTTAGCTAGTTATTTTATACTACTAGAGGTGCTTCTTGTTTAAGAGTAGAGTATAGGTTGATCATTTATCATATGATCTCTGTGGTACAACGGAATTTTATGCATAAAGTAAAATACATCACTAGTAAAAATTCTCAAAGCCATAGCTAAATTTTACCAAAATTTGGTAAAACTTTTGGGTGCTATATTATTTTTAAAAAATACATATATATGTTATAAAGTTTCTGGAGATTTCTCACATTTCCTGGAAAAACATAGTAAAAATATTTCTAAAACAGGTAATTACCCAATTAGATTTGTGTTTACTATGTAATCTGTTACACGAAAAAAATTGCCATGCATATTATATAATAAATGATCTACGTATACTCTATCCTTAAATAAAATCAATCCTTTATTACAGCCCTTATATATATTCACTGCTTCTTTTACCATTCTAGTTTTAATAGTATTATATTACTCTTTTAAGCAAGTACTCAGCACTATTTTCAAATTAGGACTAATATACACAATTTATTGATCATCCTTCTAAGCAAGTATATTGGTGTTGCTTAATATAGAGGTGAAAAGATGTTGGTATTGCTTCTAAATTACCCCAATCAGAGGACTAACTTATGCAATCTTCTACAGCCTAGACCTTCTGTGATGCTACTATTACGCATGATATTTGTACTCTATAATTAAAGCTTTTTTTTGAAAATTCCTATTTCAGAACTATACTTGTACTTGAACTTTCCACAGAGCTTCACATCTGATTATAGCTCTATCCCTTAAATTATAACACAGGCAAATTTGCTTGTGTTTATTTTTTTAAACTTTATTTTTTTAATAAAATTTCAAATATTAATTTTAACAATATCTACTTTATCAACTTTATTAAAAAAATTTTTAAAATTATTAAAAAAACTTTTGATTAATTAAAATTTAAAGTTTATATAATATTAGAGTTTAATATTAAAAAATTTTTTAGGTTTTTTAAAATTTTATATGTTTCTGAAGCTAGAAAAAATTTTTGCTCTTAAGACAAGTATTAATTTTTACAAGTAAATTACAAAATTTATAATAATTAAAATTATAGAATATAACTAATTTTAACTCCAGGTAATTCTAAATAATTTTAATCCCAGGTGATTTTAGATATTTTTAACCTGAGTAATTTTAGATAATTTTAACCTAGGGTGATTTTAGATAATTTTAACTACAGGTTACTATTGTTAAGTTTTAACCAGGATATATAAATTAATTTGTTACTAACTTTCGCTTGTTTTAATTTTATTTTAAGCAAATTTGCCTATTGTATCAAATGGAACCTAATACTGATACAAATGTACTCTTTCAGTATTTTTCTTTGTACCCTTTGTTCGAAGAAGATTTGATAGATAAAACATACTTATATAATTCACAAAGCAATAATAATATTAGTTTATATTTATTTTTAAATTTTTATGATACATCATTCTTTCATATATACTACTTACTTTGTTATATACTTTAGTTTACCTTTTTACTATACTAGAAGAAAAGTACCCTTCATTTAGAGAAGATTATGTAAATGAAACTTATCTATATACTTTCAGAACCAATAATTTGATTAGTTAGTAGTTTTAGGATTTATTTTGATCTTTTTTTTTATTTGCACCTTACCATTTTCTCTTTACTTTATTGAAAGTGAATGCTCTTTGTTCACAAATATCTTGGCAGATAAGATATGTCTGAATAGTTAGAGATAATAATATTAACGGTTTGTATTTATTAAAGTCACATCATACCAAATATAAAGGCTTAATTGATTTTTTGTATTGTTATTAACAACTATTTAACTATTGAAACTCAATCATTTTTTGATTTTGTAAATGAGAATGTTACCAATAGTCATAAAGAAAATGAGAATGTTATCAATATGGACAATAATATGAATGATGATACAGAAGATGAGTTAGAAGAGTTAAAATTAATTATAGGTATAGAATTTGAAACATGAAAAATTGCCAAATCTTACCTTAAAGAATATGGAAAACAAGAGAGATTTTTTTTCATAAAAGACATCATGTTAATGATCTAGCAGATAGTAGTATAGTGCGTCGCCAAACTTTTGAATGTTCATATGCATATTTGCATGAGGCTAAAAAGACTGTTTTAATGAAAAATTAAGGAATAGGAAATCAGTGATGATCGGTTGCTCTTGATATATTAATTTATCATTTCTTAAAACAGGAAAAGGTGTACAAATAAATAATATTGTTGGTAAGCATAAATATCTAATGAATCCTCTTATTGTGGAGACAGCACCAAAGTTTCATTACTTAACAGATGAAATATATGAAAAAATTAAATTCTAGACAATTGAAAAAAGATTAGGCATAACAACACAGTATAATTTACTGGCTATGCCATTTTCTGAAAAACAAATTAACAAAAAAGACTTAAATAATACTATACAATGGTATAAAAAACAACTAAAACCTCAAAAAAATGATGCATATCAAACTTTAGCTAATTTGTACAAAAAAAAAGATAATGAACCATCATGGGTAGTTAAACCAAAAATTAACCCTGATAAAAGAAGGCTGACAGTATTATTTTGAATGTTTCCTGCCCAAGTGCATGCTTATAAAAGGTTTTACGATGTTATAGTCATTAATACAACATCTAAAACTAATCAATTTGATATGATATTACTTATGATTATAGTTGTTGATAATGATTTCAGAAATTTAATAGTGGCAGTAGCACTTTTAGAAGATGAAACTGAAGCTACATTTGCCAGAATTTTAAATGAATTAAAGGTTGCCTGTGAGATTACTTTAACAGTAATATATTTAGACTTAGACCCTGCCTTAATATTAGCTATATGTAATAACTATCCAGAAACCTGTCTTTTCCATTATATCTTCCATATCGATCTTAATTTAAAAAAAATCTTTAAAAAAAGCTACGTAATCAGTTTGAATTATTTAGACACAAATTTCTAGTAATGTGTAATACCCTATGTCACAGAGAATTTGAAATTAGATGAACTAAACTTATTAAGGAGTTTTCTGTTTGTAAACAATATTTAACACATATCTTATACTCTTGTAAAGAAAGTTAGACAAGCGATATAATCAACAGATATTTTACAGAAGGGATTCAAAGTATACAGTGAACAGAAATTTCTAACAGAATCGTAAAGAAAAAACTTAGTCGAAGCTTATAGTTGGTCAATATTGTTAAAGAAGTTTAAGTGATATTTAATAATTAATCAAAGAGTATTAATTAATAAATATAAAAATGAAATACCAACTAAAGGTTTGCCTAGTATTATAGAAGAATATTTTCCTGAAATAATCAAGCTATTGTGAGAATATCTCATACCACAAATTTTTCAAAAACAATGTGATTAGATATCACAATCACTTTGTTATGATGTTTTTAATTGATGATTAGTTTGAATTATTAGAGGTATATAAGAAATCATTCTATGAGTTGATCTAAAAACTTTACTATTAGGTTAGGGTTAGAAAGTTTTCGCAAAAAAAATATTTGATTATTGTATATTTGTGATTATTAAATTATTTTTTTTTAGGCAACAGGCGATTTATATTAGTTGGATATAGGTAGAGAGAATGACTATAATCAGCTACAGGCCATATTTTTCTCTTTAATTAGTCATATATTATGTCATAATATTAAAGAAGTCTGAAAAGTAGTTAGACATAGAGCTTTACAGACAATACCTCAGTATATAATTATACTTAATGATGGGTCTCACTTATATACTTGCTTTTGGCTTATTAACCAAGGTATTGTCTGTAGATACTTCTTTAAAGTTATATCTTATTTTTAAAATATATGCTTCCATATAATACTTATTCCACAACAATAGTATTTCTTAAATTATAACACAAGCAAATTTGCCTGCGTTATTTTTTTAATAAAATTTTAAATATTAATTTTAGCAATATACTTTCTAATTAAAAAAGACTTTAAAGATCTACTTTATCAACTTTATTAAAAAAATTTTTAAAATTATTAAAAAACTTTTAATTAATTAAAGTTTAAAGTTTGTATAACATTAGAGTTTAGTATTAAAAAATTTTTTAAGTTTTCTAAAATTTTATATGTTCCCGAAGCTAGAAAAAATTTTTGCTCTTAAGACAAGTATTAATTTTT